AAGCATTCAATTGTCAAATTCTTAAAAGCAAATATATATTCAAATAATTCTAACAACATGATACATGAAAAACATAAATAACAACTAAATTATGTTTGGAGAGATTGTACTCGTAGCTGAAGAGGTTGATACTCATGTTATAATCAATTTATTTGATTAATGATCTTTTAAGCAGAGTACTTAAAAGAGAACTAGACATAGCCTCTAATATTTGGGTGAACCTAATATAAAAATTTGTTTTATGCTTGATTTGTTTTCTATTGAGTATTTTAGATTTATTTAAGCAAAAGGTTTTTAAAACTCTATTCATCCAATCTTCTAAAACCATTTGCACCTATATCAGATACGGGTGGGAGAGAGTTGTTTCTCATAATGAAAAGAAAGATACGTGACAATGCAACAAGGACAATTTTACGCATTTGTTATTTACTCATATTTGGTGTACTAGCAACTCTTATGTATTGTTAGGGTTGACATTGTCTTAATTTAATTGCATACCACTTTTAAATAAGACAACATAAACTTTGTTTAATCAATTTTGTTCGAGTTATGATATAAATATATAGCATAATTATGATGTTGCCAAGTTTATATATAAATTATGGTTCAATAATACATTTTAGTTGTGCTATTAGCACTCATATTTAACAATGAACATGTATATACATGAAAAACATAATCATGGTAACTTGTATAATCAATTATACTAATTAATATACCTAATGAATTACATGGTTATACTATTTGAATGATCAAATAAGACAAATACTATTTTTTTAAAAATTTTCTTGGTATCACACATTAATGTTAACGTATGATATGGAAACCAATAATTTTAATTAGTCATTCATTTACCTACAAATCAATGAATTTTGACAATTAGTATACCAACACACTATAAACATAACGAAAAAATTATTTTATTAAATCAAATTAAAAACATTACATTTTCACGTTTTTTTCATATAATCACATGACTAAACAAATTTTAACTTTATTTCCAATTCATTATATATAAATAATTTAACATTTTAAATATTTTTTTCTAAGTTATTTATTATTCAAATATCACTTATATTCTTTCTAAATAAAATACACTGATTACTGATTGACATAGTAACAATTTTTTAAACACCATTAATTTTTTTCTCCTTATACTTACATTAATAATGTATATTAAAAGAAATTTACCTATTTTTTCTACATATTTTCTCTCAATTCATTTTTTTTTCTTTTGCTTTCACACTGTTCAAATAAAAGCTTAAAAGGGTTTCATAGAAAACAAAGTCTACCCTTAACATTTTACTATAAACAACTATTATAATTTTAAAATCAGTTTAAACTCTCATTTGGTATTTGTGTGTTAATCTTAACTTGATCATTATTTTTTTTTCGATTTCAATCAAATTTAAAAACTTTTTAAAATAAGCCAATTAAACCCTCGTTATTAAGTTTTTACTCACACCACGCGGTGCAAACATTATTATTAGCTCAGTTACAATAGGATTAAATTACGTGGATATTTATATTTAAAAAAACAGTTTTTGACGAGGGAAGGAATTAGGGATTTTTTTCTGTCTCGGCAGTTGTCTCGGAGCTCCTTTTGCTTCCTCTGTTTTTTCTCAAATGCTTTATTGGCTTTTTCAAGACACAACAACCCATGTTCCATTAACCTACAAATTGAGGGATATATAGCTTAATATTTGTCATTCCTGAGCAACATTGAGTCATTATTTCAATCCAAATTTGGCTCTCAGAAGAATGAATAAGTTACCTCGTCATTGGCGTTGGGCTGCTTCTGAAACTTTAAACTCTACCAGGGGAAGAGTAGCTGGTTATGGCTTGAACAATTTCGTGAAGTTTATCGGAAAAATTCTTCCTTTAGAGTGCTCACAAATAAATAAATGACACTGATATTTATGTGTCTGCAAAATTTGGAAGCTAAAAGGGGGAGAGTTTCGAGTTACTTAATTTGAGGTAAACCTATTGTTGTCTCAGTGCAAGATATTAGGGGAAACATATTTTCAGTATGTGACCTTTTTGGTATGCCGGATGCCTGCACCCATGATTATACCTCTCCTCCAACGCCCACGCCCTCGCCGGCGAAATTCCTTCCTCCATCGGAGACCTAATTTTAACAGTTGGATTTGCATATCTCTGTGATAAATATCAAACCACTAGACTAGGAATCCGATTCGATTTGTGGACAAACGATATACAACCAGTAAACCCAGATAAACAATTTCCCCAAATTTCTTTGCATGATTAAAACCGAAACCCATTTCCTTCGATAAAATATGTATTCAGATGTGAAACATACTATGGGAAAATTCAAATACCGAGGCCCCAAACTAGAAGAAGAACAAAATTAAAAACAATGTAAACGAAAAACATAAATCAATGACAGGAAAACATAATCAAAATTCACAAAAATCATCAGTGGAATGAGGGTTTGGCGCAATGGCCAGCCCGAGAGTCACCGGCGGAGAAGGACAACCTCCTTCCATGTCCAGGCCGCCGTGTCCGTCATTCAGGTCCGTCGTCGGAGTACGGTTTCCGACCTCCAGTCCCTCACGAGCATCGTCGGATCGGCGCCGGATTGTCCTCTGAGACAGTCGCCCAAGATGCTGCTAAAGGTAGCCGTGCCGAGAAGCCTCTCGCCCGCGCAGGTGCCGTTGACGTACCGTCGCCGACCTCATATAAACGGCAAGGATGACGAAGACTCTGGATTCCTAATATTTCCAATTAAATTTTAAACCATGTCACCTAAAAAAAATTAAACATAATATAATAATGTTATGTATCATTTTAAGTGTATACCACGTCATCATAGTAGTTTTCCTGTATTCTAGCCTCTGAATCTCCTCTTTCGAACTCTAACGCTCAAGTTGAACGTTGTTTAAAGAATTTTATCTCACAATGAGTATTGGGATTTTAGTAACATGTCTTTACTTTTGCATTTTAACCTTGTATTTATAAGTTATTTTATGAACCTTAAGTTCACAGTCAAATAAAACGAATTTACCTTTAAATTCGGTGAGCTACAACTTCTTTATTCTGTAATCTATTATTAATATCATCAATCAATATCTTTAATTAATATCTTTAATCATTTTGTTATTATTTTATTAACTATTAAACTATTGCTCCAATATTAATAATAATTTAAACCCTAACCCAGCTATAATCCATCATAAACAACTTACACGCTGATCTTGTTGTATCCCAATGCTAAAGACTTAAACACTGATCCAACATCAATAAAACCGTTTACTCTAGCTGCCTCTGCCTCTGTTGACTGACAGAGTAGACCGAAAGGTTGCAAGTGTTAACCATTCGGCTACCCTCTGTACCATACACAATTTTTTATATATCTTAATTTTTTGTTTAAAAACTTAACTTATTTTAATTTTAATCTTTTCACTTTCACAGTCGAAATTGAGCGTTGAAAATGTGATTTCCAATTATATTTGCACCAAGACTATGTAATACATTTTATAATATATTGTGTTATTAAAAAATGAAAGTTAATTCATTACTAACATAGGAAGAATCATAAAAATAAACAAATAAGTTTTCACATGCAAGCATTAATTACCTTCTTGAGTTGAAAGCCATAACATACCGAAAATGCAATAAACAAAGTACAAAAAGAAAGAAAACCAACCGTAAAGAAAGAAATGAGATGGCTGCACGTGTCAGTTGGCTTTCCATGCAAGAGTGACACGAAACACTTTGTGTTGAGTTCAGTGATTTCCTATTACTTTCCTACTTGTGTTTTTTTCATCAACTCACTGCACACACGTTTCTCTCTTTTGCTTCATTTCCAGGTTCTCTTTCTCTCTTTCTCGAGTCTATTTTTCTATTCTCATATGCATATGATATTTGTTTGATAATAGACATAGAATTAGCAAATTTGCATGCTGCACATTGAATTCTGAAAGCAATAGCGTTTCTGGGTTGTTCTTGATTTTACCTTTTACACTCGATGCCGATGAATTGTAAGTTTATGCCTATATAAAAAATAATAGGAGCATTAGAAAGGAAACATATTTTACCTTTTGAAATTGAAACTACTGCAATTCATGAATCCGGAAATTGCATTCACTGGAATCTGAACTACTTGGGAAGAAAAACAGAGGTGTTGGATGAAGTATAGTACATTTAATTAGATTCTATTCCATTTTTATAGTTGTACTATGGTGACAACAACGTTTTAAACCTAGGACCTGGTGCAAACTACCCAAACCCTTCACTGCTATGTTGACTCTGGTGGGTTCAATTCTATTCCACTTCAACCTATCATAAATAACTCAAATAATGGGAGCTAATGTTATTCTTTGTTGTCTCGTTCCTTGAATCCAAAATTAGTCTAAAAGTCTTCCGATAAATCCAACCAAATATACCAATTAGCAGGTAACAAGCACATTGCTGCCAGATCTGTCTCTGTTGTTTTTCCCCAAACCCTTTCCTTTCAAGGATGAATGGACAAATTTACAATTACCAAAAATAACACTGGGCCAAAACCCTTCTACCCGTTGATAATGAAATTGATCCGATAAATGAAACAAGAAAAGAACCTGGTTTTAAACTTCTACATCATTGAGATATGAGGAGCACTAGAATCTGGGAAGTGTAAAATATACCTATGAAGTTTGCTGTTTAGAGGAAATACAATGTAGACACCTGAAACCCGAGGAAGAAATATATCAACATGCAGTTCTTCACAAACTTTATGCAAGAATCCATCACCTAGCTTTAATCCAACCAAGTAAAGTAGTGTACTTGAGAGTTTAATTTTTATAAGATTGAGGAATTTTCAATTACTTCAGGCATATAAACTCTCCAACTATGTAATATACAATGCTTGTCTTTTTTTGTCAGGTGCTGGTGCTGAAGTAGTGACCTTTCTATATGGTTGTTGGTTGGTTGCTATGTTTGATTTCCAAATTGTCAGTAGTTTGCATTTTGCNTGGGAGCTAATGTTATTCTTTGTTGTCTCTTTCCTTGAATCCAAAATTAGTCTAAAAGTCTTCCGATAAATCCAACCAAATATACCAATTAGCAGGTAACAAGCACATTGCTGCCAGATCTGTCTCTGTTGTTTTTCCCCAAACCCTTTCCTTTCAAGGATGAATGGACAAATTTACAATTACCAAAAATAACACTGGGCCAAAACCCTTCTACCCGTTGATAATGAAATTGATCCGATAAATGAAACAAGAAAAGAACCTGGTTTTAAACTTCTACATCATTGAGATATGAGGAGCACTAGAATCTGGGAAGTGTAAAATATACCTATGAAGTTTGCTGTTTAGAGGAAATACAATGTAGACACCTGAAACCCGAGGAAGAAATATATCAACATGCAGTTCTTCACAAACTTTATGCAAGAATCCATCACCTAGCTTTAATCCAACCAAGTAAAGTAGTGTACTTGAGAGTTTAATTTTTATAAGATTGAGGAATTTTCAATTACTTCAGGCATATAAACTCTCCAACTATGTAATATACAATGCTTGTCTTTTTTTGTCAGGTGCTGGTGCTGAAGTAGTGACCTTTCTATATGGTTGTTGGTTGGTTGCTATGTTTGATTTCCAAATTGTCAGTAGTTTGCATTTTGCACATCATATACACACTAATTACAGAAGAACCTTATGTTGATTCTGTTCCAACTATTAATGGTTTATTATTCTTGCAGATTCAACCATGAAGGGATCCAATTTGTTTGATTTCTTCTAGCGTACAGTGGTGTTATTGGGTGTAAAAGTCAATCTGCTGGTTCCAAACCAAGTTTCAACAATGATTCTTTCTGCCCTTTTAACTTCTGTGGGAATTAATCTTGGCCTCTGTTTTTTATTTTTCACCCTATATTCCGTATTGAGAAGGCAGCCTGGTAATATCACTGTCTATGCACCACGCCTAGTTGCTGAAGGAAAAGTTAAAGAGGGTGGCCATTTTAACTTGGAAAGATTGTTACCTACTGCTGGTTGGGTGAAGCAGGCATGGGAGCCTTCCGAGGACGATTTTTTATCATCTTCAGGCCTAGATGCTTTTGTTTTCATGCGCATATTTATCTTTAGGTGATAATAAGTTTGGTTGTTTCTAAATTTGAAGATGTATCATGACATTTCTTATCAAACCGAAATCTGCTAGATAACTTAGGTTTTTGAGGTTTTAATAACTTTTTATGGAAATTCCTGCATTACATGTGTCAATGATCTATCTTTAAGCTTAAGTTTATATATATTTTTATGAATACGTAAATGAGCATAGATGATTTTCCATCAGAAGAGGATTTTCTATATTATACTATTATTGGTATACACTGCTGTATATTCAATTCAATTGTCTTAATTTTTTTCACCTGATTGGCACCAAGTTTTGCTGCTTGTATTCTTGAATGTCTAACTGAATGTAAATAGTAATGTTTTCAAGATGATACACATTCATATGCAACCAATTATTTTAAGTGACAGCTAACTTTTATCTTATTTTGGAGCCAATCGTATGTTCATTACAACTACTTGTTTTGCTGTAAAATATGTGCAAGTCTTTCTATTTTCTGTGACCTTATTCTGTTTATTTGAAGAACATTTTT